GCGTTTGTGTGGCCTAATGAGTGTACCACCAGAAAAGTGAAGAACCGTGATTTTAACTCCGCACACGTATGACACTACTTATTGACAAGTCGGATCTCCTGTAAGGAGAATCGGAGCTTCTTGGCACGAACAAAATGCACCGCGCGTGTCGCTCCAGGATGTCAGAGGTACGTGTAAGCGTCTTAAATCCAGATCAGATGAAAATGTTCGCTCGCATGTCAGCGGCTTTGTTTTGGGTGTCTGGTCGGTAGGTTACATCAAAAGAAAATAATGCTAACCTCATGAAACATCGTTAGATTTTGTAGTTTTTTCCTTTTCCATGTGTTGGACGGGACCGACCGCTGATCGATTACAATCCTGACATGTGTACCAAGTAGGTAATGTTCCCATCTGCGCACTGCTTCGATAACTGAGCACGCTTCTTTTCCAACAATAGAGTGACGTTTTTCGCTGGGAGACAGTGTACATGAGGAGAATGTGACCGATATACCATCTTGGTTAAGTGTGGCGAAAACTGCAACATCGGGTTTCGAGTGTGAGAGGTGTGTTTGGATCGGCAGTAACCACAGCTGCATCCTCCAACTCTTTTTTGAGACTCAAACGCTTTCATAACGTACTCAGGGGCTGGAAAGGTTGTATTTTGAGTGGTGGTTAGATTTTGTCAGAGGAACAGCTTATTTTGCGAGAATAGTACATGAACAAGTTAACTACACATTGCTGAAATTTCATTCTCTTTGGAGCCGGTAGTTCGTGCAAGGCACTGAGACATTATGTCATTTATAACTCTTTGAAGACCCGCCACTCTGTTGGTTACTCCGAAAGGTATTCGGCTAATTTGATAAAGGTTGTTTTTAAGCCCTAAAATCTGTGTAGATTCTCTGGCTTCCCCTAATGGGTATTCGATGTTAGACACCCAAGATCAAGCTTGCTGAGAATACGATATTGGGCTGTTGTACTATGCATATCCTCAATTTTGAAGGGCGGATAAGCGTCCGGTTGGATAAATCGGTTTACAGTTTAACTTTAGTTAACGACCATTCGTTCCTTCTGTCGCTCGTGCGACGTGACGAGCACTTGCGCTCAGTGATTTGTTGGTCGAGTAAACTCTTCACTTCGGAAGCCTCGTCGTCTGTATAATGTCGTCTTGACTTTATGGCAGTGAGATTTCACCTTGGATCAAGGTGAGCAGATAATGTGGGATGTTCTGTCTGGACAGTGATTAGACCACAAAGCGAGGAAGAAGTTTTATCACCGTTGGAGGAGATTTCCAGAGGTTTGTGAAGTTTGAGAAAATCATATCCAGGTGGAGTACTGAAAACTTGAAATGGGGTACATGCTGTCATTTCAGAAGGGCTTAGTAAACAATCAGTAGTTCACCAAGCCATTCCCAGACAACAACTACTCATTTGGTTTCTAAATTCTTCCAGTTGATTGAAAACAACTGCGGACCATGGGTACATGTTTTGTTTATGTTGTACTGTTAAAACAGTGCTGAATAGTGAAGCTTTTGTGCCGGATGGTTGCCAAAGTGATTTCAGATGACAAGGGTAGTACAAGCCACTGATTACAACGGCGATTTTTAGAATTCACACTTTCTGAACTACAAGTATCAATAAGAGCTCAAAGTGGAATGCCGCTGGCTTTCACCTCGGTGACTGCTTCTTGGAACCACTCGGGGGCCGTAGTACTAATACAAGAGACTATGTTTGAAACAGATGAGGTGTACCTCAGACCAGTCGTACATTTGCATACTTTTCGAAAATGCCCTTTCCACAATTTTTAGGTTGCCTCTTGAGTGGGGTGCTTCACTGCCGCACAACCATAAAGTTCGTTTATATATATATATATATATATATATATATAATTGTATTAAAAGCCCTA